TTATTGCGGAACGAAAATATCTTTTTAGATCTTTTTTATAAATCTTCTTGGAAGAATGAATTTACTAGTTTTTATTAGTTTTTCCAAGCATTCTTTACTTTTTATTAAATAAAAATTATTTTTTCTTATTGAAAATAAGAATGGAAAAAAAATTTCTCCTTTTTTTAAAACAATTACAAAGGTGAAAACAAAATTATTTACTTTTTATTAAATAAAAATTATTTTTTCTTATTGAAAATAAGAATGGAAAAAAAATTTCTCCTTTTTTTTAAAACAATTACAAAGGTGAAAATAAAATTATTTTTAATTTTATTTTTATAATTATAAAATTATTGTTAATAATTATAAAATTATTGTTAATAATTAATCATCGTTCTAAAGAATTAGATTTAGAATTATTTTAGATCATTTTAATTTAAATTATTTTAATAGAAATTTTCAAAAATAAAAACGTTTTACAAATATTTACTTTCATTACAAATAATTTTTCTGCAAAAATTTTTTTCGACACTACTTATTTACATAAATTTTCGCATTAAAACTTTAATTTTTTTAAAAAAATCTCATCATTTTTAGTTAGGCTCGGTTTTTTGGCCTGTCAGGCCAGGCGGGTTTTGCCAAGGAGTCTTAGTGATAAAAGTATAGGTGTAAGATGAGCACCACTTGGATTTTTGAAAAACTGGTTTACTTCTGCATTGCCGGAAGTATAATCTCAGTATTTCAATATTCTGACAAGATAACTTTCCCTCTAAACCTTTTCTCTCCCTTAAAATTTTATTTTATTTATTTTTTCATTTTTAAAAGCTTAATGTTATTTTAAACTCTTTTGGGAAATAACGCAAAAATAAAAAAATTTTTTTAGAAATTTCGACTTTCATAACTAAAATTTCAATATGAAAAATATTTGCGCATAAATTTGGTTTCTCGGACTACAATTTTTATATTTTCCTAAATTCTATATTGATAACTGCAGTGATTTTTTGCTTTTTAGGCAGTTTTGTGCTTCTAATTGAAGATTTTCAATATCTATCTTTCTTTTGCCAGCATTGGTTATTGTTATTGGTAAGCTGTTGATATTTATTATAACACAGCTTTTCAAGGTTATGAAAATGGTTTTGGCAGAGAACACATACTAAAAGGGCATTCCAAACTTTGTGAATCTTAAGGATTTCTCAGGCGATAGACTGATTATCCTGGCTTATTGTATATTATATTATATAAGAATATTTTTATTATAATATTTTTATTATACACTTTTGAAATTAATTATGGCAGATTTTACAATAATAGTTTTTAAAAAAAACATTTTCAAATTTTTAATTATAAAATATATTTAATTTATTGAAAACCAGCCAAGCAGGGACAAACGCCATGTACTTGTATTAATAACAACAGTTAAAATAACAAATAATAAGAATTAATGACAAAAACAAAAATAATAATAATAAAATAAAATAAACAATTTAAAGATGAAATATAGAAGATATTGCAAAATAATACAATATAGTACAATTCGAAATAACTATAATCGGATGGTAAAATCGAGAGTTCACACTTCCTGCATGATATGAATATTTTAAATAATATCATAAATGATATTATCTATTTATAATGATATTTTTTAAAAGATAGCTAGGGATGGCGCACAAGCTATATCGTTCGGTTGTTTATTCCATTAATTAATATTACGAATAAAGAAATCATGAGTTCTTAATTTAGTTTTACGCATAGGTTTTAGTGATTTTAGCCCATTAGTTCTTGTTGGATTTAAATTTAACCTAAAATTATAATATTTTAAACAATCTAGTGTAACAAAACCATACAAAATCTTATAATATAGGTTAAATCTTGTTTAATACAATGAACTGACTGAGAATCCAGGTTATATTGTAGAAATTTTCTTTTATAATTAAAATTGCAATTAGGAGAAAGGTGACGTATAAAATATTTTTGGAGTCCTTCAATTATTTTACTTAATTTACGATATATCGTTATTTCCAAGATTAGTTATTTTTTTTATCCAAACTATAATATAAATAAAATATTAATTAATAATTAATCCAAAAGTAAATAAATTAATATTTATTTTTTGCAATTCTTATTTTACATAGAAGATTCATTTAAATTATATAAATTATTTAAATTTAAATTTATTAAATTTATTATTTAATAAATTTTATTTAAATTTATTTTTTCATATTTCTTGTTCATGTTTTTAAAAAATCGCTAAGTTTATATATTTAACATTTTAAGTATTTTTTTTAAAATATGTTAATAAATTATATTTCCCCATTTAATCGAACATTAATATTATATTAATATCAAATAATATTAATATCAAATCCACCTTTTTATGCCCTCAATTATTTTATTATTATGATAGTAATTATGCTAATGATAAATAAAATATAAATAATGATAAAAGGCAATTACAATAAAATATATTTGTATAATAATAATAATAACAATAATAATAACAATTCCGATGCATAATTATGATTTCTTCCGTTTTTCTTTATAAAAATCAAGTTTTTCTCTGAAATTATTCGTCATTAATTACTTATTTTCATATTTATACAATAATTTTTTTTTTAAATAGATATTATAATGGTTAAATAATTATTTAATGATGATAATTTATTTTAATTATTATCTATTTTTAAATTTTTGCGATTAATCATGAATTCTTATTCGTATTTGTTTGGAATAAACGAATGGTTGTTGCATCTTTATGAGTATTAAGATTCGGCTCTTCTCGTAAGAGTAAACGTACCATTAAAAAATTCCGGTGATAGTGGCAATCCAAGCTCACTTCTTTCGCTAACTAAAAGTTTATGGCTTTACATCAAATGGAGTGTTGAATTGAGTGAATGGGCGTTGAACCATGTAATAACTTATTAATGTTTAATCAGCCTTAAATGAAATTATTAAACAATATTTTATTTTTTACTTTTTTAAAATTTTATTACGTAATTCACTTTTAAATAAATTTTTTGTTTAAAATCGGATCTTTTTGTTTAAATAAAGTAAATATTAATTTTAAAAAGTTAGTTATTTGAGAAATATTTTTTAAAAAATATTTTCAAAAAATATTTTTATTTAAACAAATCCAAATTTTTGGCTTTTTCATCTAAAAAATAAAATGCTTCTGCAAAAAGAATATTGAAAAAAAATTTTTTTCTTTTTTGCTTACTAAATATAAAATTTTAATGAAATTTTTTAATAAACAATTTTAATTTTTTGAATATCATTTTATATAACTTTCTTTAATACAATACATTATATTACATATAATACAAAGATTTTTTGTATTTAATACATTTCTTATCTCTTATTTCCGTGATCATCCTTTATTTTTTTAAAAATATTTTAAATTCTATTTATAATTGAATATAATTAAATTTCGCCTTCGTTATCTTATACACTTGTACACTGATAACCAAATTACCTCTCCTTTCTTTTCTTATCAATTTATCAATCTACAACTAAATTAATTTCTCTTTTTTATCTTTTATTTATTTTCATATTCTTTTTTTTAGTTTTATATATATTTCTTATAATTTCCAATGAATATTTATTATATATATGGTTATTTATATTGAAGGCGTTTTTTTTCGTTTTTCCGTGTTTTAGTCTTTTTGCATTTTCCTTTTTTTCCTTTAATTAGAATTTTTTATTGTTTAAAAACTTTACTTGTAAAATTTGCTATTTTCTCTATTTTTTGGGCTCATTTTTAGTACTTTTTTTGGAATTCTTTTACTTCAGAATAATGAAAATTATATTATAATTATATTTTTGTAAATTGTAAAAAATTTTATGAATTATAATATACATGATCTTTTTAAATTTTATTTTAGGTAGTCCAGAAATAATTTAGACTTTTCATTTCATTCATTTTTTCAAATTTTTAATGGATGCAGTTAATAGTTAATGGTTTCTTACTGGATCCAGGAGAGGATAGAAGGGACATGGCATAATACAGATCCTTCTTTTTTTAACTGCTCCCATGTTTTTAAACCTCCTGACTTAGTGGCATTAATAAATGAATACGATACCATTAAATTCAGCTCGAAACAGCCTATCACAGAAACAGAAGTTTAGAAGTGTTTGGAAAATTTAATATTTCTTATTTTGCCCTGAAGAAACTCTGAATATATTTTTATATTCATAAAACAAATATTGGCTTTTGAAGGAATTATCCCATATTCTATGGGACACTACTGTTCAATTGGCTTTTATCTTATTCCAGCTATCAAAGTTAGAAAGCTTAGGTTACTCACTCTCTCGGTGATTGGAGAACCTATTTTATCCACTTAATTAAAAAACGATCTAGTACCATGAAATTCGGTAAAAGGCTATAGCTAGGCTATTAAATCTATAATTTGTTATTCCCGTTGCAATGATTATAAAATATTCTAAAATTTACGATAAGAATGTTTTGTTTGGCGATTACTTAAAGATCAAAATTACATTAAGACTTAAAACTTTCAAACTTTTTCTTTTTATTGGTGAGTTTTACTGGTTCAATTTTTGCTAAATAAACAACAACAAATGAATAGTAAAAGCTGTAGGTTACATGAAAAGTGGCCATATTAGTGAAAAAACCAATTATTAAAAGAGAAGGTAATCTAACAAAACTCGATATTTGGCAATATTCGGACAGTTCGAAAATATTCTGAACGAATTTTCAGGAATATTTGGTCATATTTTATGTCTAGAAAATGCAGAACTAATTTTTCTAAAATTCTATAAAATATTTAAAATTATATTTTGATTTAACTCATGCTGAAATTTTCATAAAATTATTGCAATGTAATAGATTATAATTATAATTTTGATTAATTTTTGTTAATTGTTAATGTCAATGTTAATTGTTTTAAAAATATATACGTATTTCCCATTCAGATCTATCAACCATGCATTCTATCGGTTATCAGTTGTAATAATAATAATATTAATATGAGTAAGGGAATTCAATGGCGGATATAAAACGATGGACAATGTTATCCATACTAAGTGATCAAATCCTTGATAATATCCGAGTAATTCTTTTTATTTTACATCTTTCGCAATAAATGATTTTATTTCAATATATTTCTATTTCAATTTTTTATTGTTTTTTTCGGTTTTTTTATTGTATTGTTAATCATTTTCTAATCAATTTCTAGTTGCTTCCATTCACAATTAGGAAATTAAGAGTTTCCAGGCTTCATAATCTGACTCTGTCAATATATCTATTTTTTCAAAATCTCTTTTGACAGTATCAGACCAAGTTTTAATTAGTTCACCGCGTTTTTGAAACTCATCATTAGAGAGATATATGGCAATTCCTATGATGGGCGATAAAGAATATAGCGACATGATTATCAACGATTCTTGCTCTATCAAGGCGAAGATGGATATACAATCGCATGATTTTATCCGATGCGTAAAATATAGCCATGTAAAATGTAACTTTCATTAGCCATGTTTTGCAGTTATGACATAGAATTATGCGTATTATTACAGTCTTTGCTTTAAGTTTGATTTTGCAGCGTTTCTAAGATGTCAGATTTCGTTAAGATGTCTTTAGCTGCAAATATCCAGTTAGATGAGCTTAACTTCCATTTTTTACTGAGCCATTTGGCAAAGGATACTTAATATAACTATTTAAAGTATTTATCACTTCTCTGTTGAGATCTCAGGTATATAAGACGAAAAGAGTCTTGTTAGCGCTGATCTGGTAGGCAATTGTTTAAAGTTGGTATCATGTCTTCTTTTATAGATTTTTCATATCTGTTAATGAAAGTGCAAAAACATTAGGGTATTTTAGATCTGTGGTGCTATGCTTTACGCTGATCTCTGCATCCGCAAACAATGTTCACAACTCATTCTATCGCATAGTTAACGATTTGGGTGGGTCGGTGGGAAGGAGAAGGTGAAAAAAACTAGAAGCCCATATATACATATATCTGGCAAATGTAGAGAAAATGATAGTAACTACCTTCTTTGACTCTTCGTAACTATGAGTGAATATTCTTATGCTAAGTAGTGTTGTCGAAAGTGTTCTATCAATCGAATCAAAAGTCGAATATTCGTTGAAATTTGATCAACGTAATTCAACCTTGGCCTAATTCCAGCTTGATTAACGGTGAATGTGAACGGTGAACGGTGTAAGCAAAACGAAAGTCTTTTCATTTTATGTGCAAGAAGCTGATAAAATGCCTCTTGTAAATTTATTGCCGGTCGAGGAAGCGCCCTTGGGTAATGGTGGGAGGTGTTAGAACAAGAAGAAGACAGTTTTAATTAATCAAATAAATAATCATGAAAATTATAAAATTATGAAAAAGAACTTTTTCAAAGCTTTTTTAACATATTTAAATTCTTGAAAAGAAACATGGAAATATCAAATATAGAATATAAAAAAATAGAGAATATAAAAAAAAGAAATTCTTAAAGAATTTTGTATTTAAAAAGAATTTTTTCAAAATGATATTGAATCATGACGATATTTAGGAAAAATAAAATTTTATCCGTAGAAAGTTAAGTAACGAATAAATTTTAATTTTTAATTTGTAAAAGTTTTATATTAAACAAAATAATTGCCAATTTTAGGCTAATTTCATTTTATTTCAGTCAGCGATAATATTTGGAAGTTCGGGTAACGAAGCTATTTTTTTAACAAAAGATAAAGAATTATTTGCAATTGGTGCTAATAATTCATCATGTTTAGGTTTATTTTTAATATTAATTAAAAAAATATTAATTAAAAATAGTTTTGGTTTAATTTTGGTTTAAAAAAATTTTTTGCGTGATAAAATTAATTATGCTATCATTAAAAAAGAAAAAATTGTTTGAAAAATTTAGTTTTTAAACTTGATTTTTTAAAATTAATTATTTATTTATTTTATAGGTACGAATCAATCACAAGCAACACTGGAGCCAATGAAAATCGAAGCCTTGTCAGGAAAAGAGATAATATCATTTGCTTTTGGTTCAGGTCCTCATGTTCTCGCCCTAACTCGAACTGGAGAAGTCTATTCGTGGGGTCATAATGCTTTTGGACAACTAGGTTCGATAGATTAAATCTGAAAGCCGTTATATGAAATATTTCAAAAAAAATTATTGTAATCTATTTTCGGGTATTGGATCGACAATTGTTGGTACGACACCGCTTTTAGTTGGAGAATCTCTTAGTGGCGAAAAAATTGTTAATATAGCATGTGGCAATCATCATTCAGTGGCAGTAAGCGATAAGGGTGACATTTTTACTTGGGGTCGAAATAGCCATGGTCAGCTTGGTAAGAATTTTCTATTAACATCATAATGTCACAATATTAAATAAGTAAAAATATGAAAGCGATTTAATATATGTCACTTTAATTTATAATTTATTATTTATTAAAATTTTTTAAAAATTTCTCGCCGAACTAAGTTTTTTGTCATCATTCCAGGAATTGGTAACAACATCAATCAAGAAATACCTAGTAAAGTTGGTGGTCAGTTAGGTAAGTAATATGTTAAAGGGCTTTATTAAATCTGTTTATCTATAGATAAATCTATGAATCTATTTATATTCATTTAAATCTTCAAAAGGCTCTTTGCTTAAATCGGAGATGACATATTAATATATTAAAAACATTTTTTTACTTGGTCGAGCTTCGGCAACATTCGCCAGTATCAACTACAATTTGCTCCGATGAAGATGCCTTATCGAGACCAGTTTCGCTAAAATCTCATCAGCTCATCAGTCGATTTCGTTCAAAATGAGCTTGCAAACTGAATTTACTCAACATTGCGGGGAATTCGATATTATTTTTAGGTTTACCACTGAAGAGTCAGAATAGTATAATGATTAAGGTGCGCGATTAATATGGTAACAGTTCGAATAGCACCCACTCCTTTCTTTACTTTCCGGTGAGGGTTCTTGGATGAGATTCTCTATATATTCGCCTTGTCTCGATTTCCCTTACCCGACCCGAAGTTGAGGATGAATCATAATACAAGAATGAAAGGGAGGTTTTTTTTCTATTACTTTTTTATTTCTTTATAAGCAAAAATATATTTTCTCCACTAAACTCGTAGTTATATATATATATATAAATTTGAATCCACCGTAGAAAACAGATTAAATTTTAGTAAATCGTTTTGTAAAAGCTGCATCATGTGGTCAAAATAATACAATGGTTTTAACTGGTGCTGGTGAAGTATTTTCTTGGGGTTTTAACGGAAATGGTCAACTTGGAATCGGTAACCTATCAAATCAATCCAGTCCATCGCTTGTTGTTGGATTAAACAATGTTTTTATATCGCAAGTAAGGCACTTGAAGAATTGTATATTCTATAAAAATAAATATTTTATCTATTCCAATTTATGCATTAATGTATAAATAAAGATTGCAAGTGGATTTGCGCATTCTCTTGCATTGAGTGATGAAGGACAACTTTTCGCTTGGGGCTCTAATTCGTGTGGACAACTTTGTGCAAAGCTTCCTCATTCGAATCAAACGACACCAGTGGTTATAGCATCCGGTTTAGGAAGGTTTGTTTCACATTATTTTCTATTATTTTTTATTCCTGATTTTCACTTGCATTATTGATTCCTCAGTGTAGTTTTGTTCTTTTTAAAAAAATGTTTCATCTTTTTTCTCCAATTATTGGAAAGTGGAATAGAGAGAAAAAGCAAGAATTGAGGCACCAATCATAGTACCAGTGATTGATTACTTCATTGATTTTACGTGGCCAAATTTCGTCGATTTAAATTGCACAGTCGATGAATAACTTACTTACTTACTAAAATTTTTTACTAATTCCTTTCATTAAATTTTCGTTTAATTTTATATCTACTTTAAATCATATTTACGAATTAAGCTAATCGCTAAATTTACATCAATATTTCAGTCAAAAATTTTAATGTAAAAAAACGGCTTTTTGCTTAAAAAAACTTTTTTCTGACTTCTGTTTTATGTTTTTTGAAAAAGGAAAGTTGCAGAATAGTTGAAATTGCCGCAATTCATCCGTGCAATATAGCTGTAGCTGTTAATCAGAATGGCAAAGTTAGACGTTTTTCAAATTTTGAATATAAATATACTTTTTTACATATACAAATGATATGTTATATTTGTTATTTCCTGGCCAATTTGCATTTCTTGTCATTTTAATTTAGGTATATATGTGGGGGCAAATACGTGGACAAACTGTTTTAACTCCTATTCAAACATATTTTCATTCCGTTGACGATGTTTTCGCGTGTTTTGCAAATCCACCCGTCACTTGTCGCCCGTTAAGATTTGGTAATATAATTTTCAATGAATCTATTGAGTTATATCTTATTGATTATTGAAGATCTTATTGAAGATAATTGCTTTATTTGTTTTTCCCAATGTTAAATATCATATATAATTCTAAAGTAAATTTTAAAACTGCATGCTAGGATAAGACGTTTCGTTGCTGCTCGATTCGATCCTGCACATGGAAATAAAATAAGCTAGCTCTTTTTCCACAGTTTATCGCTGAATCGCCTATACGTTCAAAATTTTCCCTAACTCAATCCAGGTCTCCCTTTCTAGATTCGTCCTCCTTTCTTTCAGTGGAATTAATCTCAAGGATCATTAATCATCAATTTTTGCAAAATCATGAACGACAAAGCTTCTCCAAATTGAACTATATAAAAATTATTCAATAGCTAAACTCAAAATACAATGAAATATAATGAAATCGCTGAAAGAGTGAAAAATTTAGTGAAAGAGAATAAAAAGAATGAAAAAAGAGTGAACTTAGAAATTTAGACAAAGAACATCAGTCAAGCATTCTTGATGCAATAAAAATGGCTTTTGATGATCCAAGCACAAGCGATTTACAAATATCGATAGATGGACATATCATCCATGCTCATAAGGCCCTACTTCGAATGAGATGTGATTACTTTCGCTCGCGATTTCAAGAACACTGGAAGGATGAAAGCGATAGGTTCAATGATCATAACTTTTTCTCTATAATTTTTATTATAATTTTCAGTGAAAATAATTCTTCATGAAAATAATTATTCCTTATACTATAAGACATATTTCAATTCATATTTTTTTCGTCAATTCAATTATATTTCAATAATGCTTTCTTTCTATGAGCACTAACCATTTTTGGCTAGGCTCATTTCGCAGGATTATCGAATCAAGTCGAATTTTGCCAGAGAACCACTTGATGATAGAGATATAGATAAATCGTCAGCATCACCAGATTTTTGGGCATGTTTGCTTATTTACCTGAAGTAGAACTCCAGTATAGGACTGGCGCTTCCAAATGTGAAGAAGCTTCCTTATTTCGGTATTATTTTATTTTATGCATCATCTTAAAATACTTGATTATATTGCAGTACAACCATTGAAATGCCTCATTTTTCATATCCAGTTTATCATTCATTTATTCGTTGGCTATATACCGACGAATTACATATTGATATTGAAAATGTGATAGGACTGCTTGATTTGGCGAATTCTTATTGCGAAGACGAGTTGAAAAAACGTTGTTCTGAAGTGATTAAGAAGGTACTACAATTTCTTTCATATTTTTATGCCGCCAATAATTTAAAATTTTCAAAAATTTCATCTTATTAAATAGCGTAATTAAATGCAAAATTTGGTAATAATCGAGCCAAAAAAAGAAATTCCTTTTATTTCGATGAGATTTAATTGAATTAATCAAAATTAAAATCAAAATTAAGAATAATTTTTAGGCGATTAATGTTGAAAATGCGATCATTTTTTATGAAAGTGCGATTCGTTTGGAAATAAAAGATCTTATAGAATTTTGTTTTAATTTGTTAGTTAATTTTTTATTTAAAATTTCAAAGTTCAAATTTTTTAAATTCGAACTTAATTAAATAAAAATCAAAAAAAAACAACTTTTATTTTTGAATTTTAATTTTAAAGATAATTTTAAAATTAGTATCACAGTTTTATTTATAATAATAGTTCATCTTAAAAGCTCATCACCAATTTTTCAGTTGCATACATCATATGACAGCCATAACTCAGACTGAAGCATTCGCACATATGGAAGATGCGATCATTAAGCAGTTTATCATTGAAGTTGCGAGAAATGGTGCTTTCAGAACTTAATTTTTATTATCAATGCATAGTGAAAATCGTCGGCAATATTCATAATTTATAACTTATAATTTCTTTATTTTTCTTTATTTTTAATAATTTTTCATTTTTTATTTAGTATAATCGCAATTTGTTGCCTATATTTTTCTTTTTTTTGCGTTTTTTTTCATTTTTATCAGTTATCAAATTTCACTGCCAAAATATATTTTTATATACTAATAAATAATGATTTTCATTAATTAATGTTTATTTTTTCGTATTTATCGCCAAAATTTATTTATTATATCAAATAAAAAATTTTAACAAAATAGATTTAAAAATTTTTGAAAATGCATATATATATATATAACAATTAAATAGCTATTTAAAGTAAGAAAAATATCAGATAAAATAAATCCCTATTGATGGCTTCAAAATGATAACAATCACTTTACAAATTATCTTAAATCAATTATAAATTTTATCAGTTAATATAAGGCTAAAACCAATTTATGATTAAATTTCATTGACACCATATAACCTTTAATTCTTAGGAATAGCATGCTATTGCTTAGTGGTTTACTTTCATTTCAGTATGCAGTGATGGGGTTTCATCCTTTGAATTTTCAAAATTCGGATAATGCAGGTGATTTGCCTGTATTTTTTTCCAGCCAAGTGATTCTCTGGTCAAAAATTTCTATACCAATATCAAGAAGCAGCTGTTTTAGCCAAATTAAAAATGGTGAATGAAAAAAAAGCGAAATGTAAATAATGCTAAATAACGTGTCAAAGTGCAGCGAGAATCGGACTCAGGATCAATGTAAATAAAACGAAAGTCCTTTCGCCTTATGTGCAAAAAGCTAATAAAATGTCTCTTTTCGTAAATTACCAGTCGAGGAAGTGCCCTTGGGTCCAATCTAGTACCAAATTGCCAGGCAAAAGACGATATTGCAACCCGAATCACGTGCTAAAAAACGTTTTTCCGGTTGATAAATCCTTTATGGAGCCGTCATGAAATCATCATGAAAACAAAAGTCCGCATCTATATAGTTGTGATTCGTTCGACCTGTTATATAGCTCTGAGAAATGGCCAATGAGAGTGGAGGAAATTAAGAAATTATCTCCCATTGACCACTCTTTCTAAGGTACATTTTACGGGTCCATCGAGCGGATAAAATATCATGATCGCATCCATCTTCATTCAAATATCACCTGCATCAATAATGATCACAGAGTGTCGCCTTTGCTGATTAGGGCACGTTCTTCGTCGTCCACCATAAGAGTTCTTCGCCGCATGTTTTCATTACTTGCTAAACCCTGTGATGGTTGGCGTAAAAGGAGGACTAGTCAAGATCTGGATTGATACATTTTGGACGTGTAGATGGACCAGCAATATATGGACAATGGAAAAAGGAATAGCTTCTATTACTGTGGCATCAGACCGCGTCGCTTGGGAGTCTTAACCCTGTAGCCGTTGTAGCCAGACTAACCAATAATAGCGAGAGCTGTTAGAAGAAGAAAGAAGAAGAATGAAAAAAAAGAAAAAAATCAGTCGATATAAAATAATAATGTACTATAATCATTAAGACGTAATATTAATAAAGTAATATTAATAAAATTAATATTTCATCTCTAAAAAGATGTATCAAGTACTAAATATAATTTAATTTGATTAATCTAATTTTAATTAATTAAATTATAATTTAATATTGGCCGTAGCTGTGATAATAAAACTCAAATATAACAATTAGGTCAGTTCAAGATCAATGCATTTTAATTATTTTATCAGAGGATTGACCAGCGCATAAATTATCTTTTATTATCTTTATTAATTCATCTTCGATAATCCGCACGAATGACCTATTTTTTTATATTTATGCTATATATATATATATATATATTCCGCACTTAACATAAATCGAGCTTTGTCATAAAGTCTTTTGGATTACCTTGTTCACCTATCTACTTTATCGTTAGTTATTAGTTATTCACGTGAAACCAGCTTTTAAAATTAAAATCTTAAAATGGTGGCTGCAATTGTCTCCGATTTATCTACAATTTTAGTTCCAGTTTTTTTCCAATTCTTGCATAATTCTTCATGGAGAGTGTGGTACTCAGAATATAGCTTACGTTGAAAATAATTAGAATTATTATGAAAAATTATTAGTATGAATGCGAAGATAGATATGCATGTTGTTGCTTTAGCTGAGAGCAAAAAGCCCTATTAAAAGGGAACGATAAGATGAACAATAAGGTATAACGATAAGGTATCCCAAATGGTCGTAATAATTAGTAAAAACAGCCAAGCCAAAAATGATGAAAGATTGATCGATCAACAGATATAATTTAGCAACGAGCAATCTCTCAAAAATCAGTGAGCCATTTAACACGTAAAGCAAATCTGTATATATTTCAAGCCTCTTTTCATTCTACTGTTTGAACCTTCTTGGAATGTTCAATTTTTATAATAATCGATGAATAAAATTGCTGCATATATATTTCTTGTACTAATAATTCATTCATATCGTGGTTATAATAATAGTTTTGAAGGTATATTTTTTGCTTTCCAATGATAGGTTTTTAAACTGGTTAGTTGTCCTTTTAGTTGTTTTCTGCAAACCAAAATTGGTGATTGCTTTTAGCATATTTTCTTGAAATTTGTGTTTTTCATAAGGCTAACAAAAGATTATACGAATTATTAAATACGCTTCCGATCAATTCGCTTCCTATCATTCTCAGCTATCATGATAAATAAAAGATAAGCCTTCTCTTTATAGTGCAAGATTATCACAGTAGTTATGGTTATTTACAATTTACAATTTAAACTTAATGATAATAATTTTTTCATAATTTATTTCAATTAGTAGAAAAAATATTTATACTTAATAAAAAATATTTATTGAAGCTGATATAATGAATATAACAAAATTTCAACAACAATTTTATGAAATGGACTTCGATAAACTTCGCATATATTGGCGTATTTTGATGCTTAAAAGCTTTTTGAAGGTTCTCTCAAGTTTTTTTTCTTAAATATAATTTTTTATATTTTTTGACAGAAATAAATAAATAATGCAATAAATCTTACAAAAAGTAATATTATATGTGAAATAAATATATGAATAAAGATATTTTTATTAGCAGTAAATTTTTCTATTTTCCTATATAAGTTTACAAAAAAAAGTAAATTTTCAACAAAATTTTTGCTTCAGTATTATATTCAGTATTATTACATAGACAATTTAAAATATATATATTTTATAAAAGCAGCAATAGCGGCTTTAATGATTACGATGTAGAGTTAGGATGGAATATAACAACAATGCAGCCAACTTTCTCTTTTCGGGAAATCTAGATCTAAATCTAAATCCTTAGGCGTGGTATAAGGTCCTGAAACCTTGTCTCCCCTGTCTCCTAGACCTTTAGCAGAAGGCTCAGGTTGTGGGTAGCCTATAGCACAAACAGAACACGAGAAGGAGTTTTTTTTTTATAGTGATATTGATTATGATTGATTGGCTGAGTGGCTGAGTTGTTGCTCTTATTTCGAAGTGGCCATGCTAGAATCCACTCCCTGTCCTTCTTCGGATGATATTCGCAGCTCATCTGTACTTCTGTTGTTATTTACTTGGTCTCTATTAAAATTAAGCCTAAGCCAAGAAGCCGAACAAACGGAGCGAATTTAACTAGATATAATGAGCAAAAAAACATAAATATTATCTATTAATATTATTTATGCAAAATTTTATAAGTATTAATGCTGGCTTAATTTCCTATGCCTTGTGTATGGCTAATAGAATGATAATTTAATTATAGGCAAAGGCTCAGTGGTTATGTAAATCTTTGCCTGAGTTGGATTGTGTAATGTATGTGGAATGCAAAAAAAATTCGAAATCCATCATTGAATTATCGAAATGTGTTGTTAAATTAATTGATGCGAAAAATCATTACAAATATATGAAAAACCTGAATTTTCGTGGTAATTTTCTCATAAAAGCTACCATACTTTTTTATTTATCATTTGACAGTCCATATAAATAAATAGTAATCAGTAAATTTAACGATATTCTTTGCATGCAAAAGATCGATCTAACAACGACAGCAGCAACGGCCATGAACTGTAAAATGAGAAGCATGGCGAAGACTGGGAATACAGTGGAAGCTAATAGATTTGAGGCAGATTAATGAAGATTTGCGGATATAAAATGCGATGATAGAGCCATATTAAAATACCATATTATAAGAACAAGTTGTTTTGCTAGCAAATCAGTGAAATGAAATCTTTTGTTGCTCTTTATTCGCATAAAATTTTAGGCAATAAAAGGTCTTACTCATCGTTCTTATCAAAGTTTCCTGGCATTGAGCATATGAATGGTGGCTTTAAGAAGATTTTATTAGAAATTGAAAGAAGGTTATGGCAAGTTAAAGGCACAAAAAAGGCACCAAACAATTCACAGCAACGAATTAATTTTAAACCAATCGAACAACGAAATAGGACAAAATTCGAATTACGAAGACTGCTTCACAATTTTATACTTTCTCGAGTACAGTTTAAAAATTATATTTTCATTATTTCCGAAATAAATTAATATATCAATTTTTAATTTTTATATTAATGCTTATTCTCTTTAATGGAGTTTGGCTTCTTCGATGAGGTTGGTTCACTTTATTTATTATTTTTCTTTCTCTATCTATATAAGAAATCCTATTTCGGTATACCGAAAATTCTGTTGACGCCAAGTAGACCCATCTTTCAAAAATCCATGTGATGCGGACAATGCTTCTATTGCTGAATGATTCCTTGAAAAAATTTGCCTGACACGACAAACCTTTGGAGTAATTCCAATTAAAAATCATCAGAAAAAATAAATCTGATAATTTATTTATATTTCTTTTTTCATCAATTGTTTAGAAACAATTTATAGTTTTTGCAGAAATGCAGAAATTTTTATAAGAAACAAGCATGATAAAAACTTTTCTAAAAAGAAATGCTCGATTTATGAACAGTATTTGGCAATGAGAAGAATCTGATCCATTAATTTTCGCTTTGCGGATACATCAGTTTGGTCATTAATAAGCACTTTCGTATTAGAACTTTTTTAGCGGATGTCAAGAATCCAACAAACTAAATTTTATTCTCGTGATGTAAAGAGGTTAACGAATAAGGCTGCGATGAAATCCTACAGTTCGATGAATAAAGGAGATAAGTATGTCTTTTATTTATATATAGTTTACTATATATTTACTATATATTTATATATAATTTATCATATATATTTATTTTACAAATAGTAATTATAAAAAACTGCCGAAGGACCAATGGTCAATTCACAACTCTGTATTTTTAATAATTCTCTTCAGCAAATCACCAGTTAGAAGAAGCTTGCATGAACTTATCAAGCAGGACAAATATGAAGCATCGCAGCTACGTATTAAACGTTCAGTTTTACTCAATACTCAAAAAGGTATAATTATTCTTTTATATCCTTGAATTTGCCATTTGTCGACTCCTTATCAACATTTATTACAACATCTATCGTCTTTTTGACTTTCGACTTCCGACTTCCGACTTACCATAAAATTCGAAGAGACACTGTGCTTCAAATGAAAATGAAATATTTTAGCACATATGATCAGAAAAAAACAAAAAAACGAATATTATGGAAAAAACCTAGTAAAATTGCGAAAAATCAGGGATTATTTCATTCAAATTGATGAGATCAATGCATATGTTAAGAAAATGAATGATGAAAATATACGGTAAATTTTTTAAAGTGATGCCAAAATGATACCATATTAATTAATTATACAATAACATTTTGGTCAATATTTTTATGGCATAAAAGTTTGGTAGCACTTTTCGAGTGAATGTTAGGTTATTTGCTTTTGCAAACATCGTGATTCCTTTTAGATTCCTTTTCGATTAGATCCTCTCAAAAAGTAAAGTCTGCATGACTGCTGAGGCTAACCTGTACTAAAGTGATTGACTGGTGCAAAAATTTCATTTTACTGAGAAAGAGTGATATTAGAGTAAAAAGAGTGAATACTGTTGAAATAAAGAATTGAATAATTGAATTGAATAAATTATCTTCAATGAATTCTCAGAAATAAATCCTTCTTAAAAGAGCCCGATGATCCAAACAACTTACTTAAATTATTGCCAAGTGAGACTTTGGCAATATTGTTCGATGCAAAAGGTTAGCCAGAAATGCACACTTAGTAAAAAAATCCGCAAACGGACCAAATTTTTCTTTTACCAGCCAGGAATTCAGACGATCTTATTTATTTCTCATACTTTTTGCAACAGTTTTGACAATCCACGATAGAAATGATCAAATTTATTTTCAGGTTCTTACGAAGAGTTAATTTTCCAGTAGAAAGTGTTGTCAAGGATATTAGCGGTGCGCACGAAAATGAATTACTCAAAGATATCGTATTTACACTGAATTCATTTTTGGTATTTTTCGATGTATTAAAAAGAAACAACAGTTCTTGCATGTCAATTAGTCTAAAAGTGTATAATGGCAGCTTGGTGGATTGTTCTCATTTCTGGGCTTCGATATTGAGGTTGGTTCTGCTGCCAACAAAAAACCTGTTTTTCAAAAGTCCTACCGATACTAGCTACCTACATATATCGCTATGTTACTACTTGGCAAAATTTGTTTAGTCTGACAAGCCAGCGAATCGAGCCCAAGCCTAATGAATAATAAGTACCCTTATGCGCTAAAAAAATATTAAAATCGCAAAATCGAAATGATTTTCTTTTTTTTAAATTTTTATTTTTTTGAGGGAAAAAGAAATGAGGAAAGTATCTCGATTTTATCACCAAAATTATTTTCCTTTGCTCGAAGTGATAGCAATCGTTCAAAAGTTCTATCGCCAACTCTCTTCAGTTTTAGACGTGAAGGCTTATTTTCTATTCCAGAATTGTTCAATGTATTTCAATTATTGATATTTCATAGAATTTCTTCCCTCCGAATACATATATTTTTAATAGCAAAACCTATAAAAATTATGAGTTGACATATTTTCATTATTATAGTATAATTAATAAGAGTTGCACTAATTGGTACTAATTTTCCGATGGTGAGTGACAAAGATGATGCGAATAGTCAACTCTTGGATTTTATCATTGACATAACGGGTGCTTCGACGATTTTGGATAAGTTATATAGTTTATTGGAGGATGATATCAGGGAAATTGATGAAATAAAATATCCACTGGTTCAACGTCTCATCCAAAATGGTCGAAACTGGATTACGGTAACTGAATCTTATACAGGTACCAATGACCCTTTGCGATGACCCTTTCTTATACATTGATTTGCATCGATTTTGATTTTATCAAGGTGGAAATAGTACAATAATAAAAACATGATTCTAATAATTTCATATGCATTTGAAAAAATTGGTACAATCGTAAATTTGATGGTCTTAGCTAGTGGAAAATCTATCTACTGAACAGCCTCCTAGGACTAGAATTCCAAAATTCCAGGTTCCAATTCAAATGACTCAATTAGGCTAGTTTCAGATAAGCAAAAGTGGGATATAAGAAGTCGAGGTTATACTTACCTCGAACCATTTCAACTCAACGTTCTTTATGATTATCAAGATCTACAGTGTTTGTGTTTTAAAATTTTATTTAGATTTATTATTTGGATATATTTTTTTTGGAGCTTACAGTATTGAAAATTCGCAGAATTGAAAGAAATAATCATTAAATAATCAATTTACCGGGTGGCTACTGAACCTTATAACCACAGCTCTGCAACTCGATTTGAATAGTTATGGAAATATGAGTGAAACTGAACGAGAAGAACGATCAGAATGGCAAATTCGTTGCTTAGCCTCTTTATCGAATGATAATGATCGACAATATAGAAGTCGCCAAAAACGGGTAATTTCAAGACGAAGACCATAATTATCTCCATCTACATTTCTCTAAGTAGTGTGAGCCATTAGTAAAACTATCTTCCCTGAACGTAAGGCTGAAGCATTACACACTCCGGCTAAAGGGTCAGAAGGGTCTATAGTAGTCAGCCAGAATACAGTTAGAAAAACTTAATTTCAGTTATGTTTTTTAGCAAGGCGTGCCAGAAGATCTTAGTGATCAGCTTATTATTCTTCGTCCTTTTGCTTTCGCCAATTTTCTTGCTCATGGCATAGCATTTGAAGTGCACCTATTATCACCAAGTGCTTTTATTAATGAAATTTTACTTCCGCAAGCTTTCATTGTAAGTCATTCGTTTAAGTGATAAAATTGGATAAAATAAATTGACACTTTCATTATAAAAAAATTACTATATATTCTAGCAATAATAATAAATAATAATAACCAATAACTAATAAAAATAATATAACAATTAATAATAATAACAATAAATAATCACTAAATAATCGATAATAATAAATAATTAACAACAATAATTAGTAATAATAATAATGATGTTTTGGCGTATACCCATTTTCATGAAGATATAGTTCATATGCATATTATCTGCATTTCATAGATTTAACTGTTTATGATAGGTTTATTTTTTTCAAGAGACAATCGAACCTATGATACTCGACGCAAATGGAAGCATACAACTCGATCCCCTATCTCTTTTATTGTATTGTACCAAAGTAATCAAGAATCCAGATTTAAAATTTTCAGTTGCGAACCCTTTCACCACAAGCTTTTGTCTCCTCGATTCTAAGTCCAAGTGCTTTAACTGCTAGAATTATTGCACCAATCTTTTTCGAATCAGAAGTATCTTTCGATTCTGCTTTTTTCTTCACGCGATTTTGTTAAGAAAATAAACTAGAATTACACCATTTAGAATATTCAGCAAATTTTTTAAATTTACTAATAAGAAAATGTGATAAAGAATTTTTAATTTAAATAGCTGAGAGGTAGAAAAGAGAGAATTTATTATTAAAGTAAGCTTACAAAATCAAAACTATTGAAAGAGAGGGGGGAATCAGCTTTTTTCTTATATCGACTTTCTGTAAAATTTTATAAGCACATAACCTTATCGCCTGCATATTTTGAGACTTCATTTCTGGTTATACTCGCCTGCTGGTTTGTCGCACTTGACAAATATGCCAGGGTATCGGGTCCCTTAATGACAGAAGCATATATCAGCATTACGGCTTAGATGAATAAAATAGGCACAAAATATTTTTAGATTTTATCACCGAATGCTCTAACACCATACATTCTTTCACCTGAAATACTATCAATGGAACTTCTTTCACCTCGTTTTATGGAGCCACGCATAGCCAGCCCCGAATTGCTCGTATTAGACATCTTAAGTCCAGGTTGATTTTTGATTTTACAATAAATTATGTAAAAAATATATATTATTTAACAAGTCGCAATCGCAAATTATTTTTGAATAGTGTTACCTTCCCTTCTCTTAATTATAAAAATTGTAATTATCGAAATTTTAATTATAAAATTTACAGGCATACTTTCTCCTCATTTAGCATCAGATGAAGGTGTCGGTATGTTAATACTCAGCCCACACATAATGTCACCAAGAATATTAAGCAAAGATTTCATGCTTGTTGAAGTTTGTTGTTTTTTGAGTATTCAATTTTGGGATACAATGCATGTAATTAGTATTAGCCAGTAAAAAAACTAGTTCTATAAGTATCTTTCACTGTTGTATCGTTTTTTTCACAAATAATTAACCGCATAACTTAGAAATAAAAGCATAAAAAGTATATGGAAATCAATAATCAATTTTAAAAACGCCTGAAAAAATTAACTACAGTAGCCATGGAGCTAGAATCTTATGCTAAAAAAACTTTTCAGGTTCTATCGCCAGAAATATTCGAAGCACCAGAATCTGAAAAAACTGAATCCAAAAGTGATGGAAATGAAGAATCACATGAAAATACCGAAAACAGCAAATTTTACTAGTCTACTCACCGTAAAAAGAATTATCAACGCAAAGTTTCATTCCAACGTTTTATTTCGCCATTTATCTATGAAAAATAAAGTTGGATTATCCAAGTTAAAATTAACATTAAATATATGAAAAGGGTATCAAAAAATATATTGTAAAAGAAATATTATTCAGAGTCTTCAAAATAAAAATGAGAAAAAAAAATCTGAAACTAGAGAACAACTATTTTTACAAAGAAAAATGCAATAGAATATTATTTCGGTTTAATACCATTACGCATGGTCACTAATTCTTCAGCACTTGTTGGATGTATTGCTATCGTTTCATCAAACTGTTTCTTCGTAGCACCCATCTCAAACGATAGAAGTAAACTAGTAGGAAAAGAAAAATGAAATAAAAAGAATACAAATGTGAAAAATTTCCATGATAAAAACTGATTTCGTTTGTGGCAAATATAAATAACCAAGAATACCATGATTTAATAATAATAAATATCAGAATATTTTGCCATTTTTTAACTATAAATAAATATAAAAAAACAAACATTTATAGCAACCGCGAAACCTTGTAATATTTCATCACAACCATCTCCAAGCATATGCAAGCCAACAACCAAAAATATAATTTTAAAAATGTATGAATAATTTTCCATGAAATTTTTATAAATGAAAAACTGGATAAAAATTTCATTAAATTTTCAAAACTATTATGTTGAATTAAATTTTTGGAGCGAATACTCACGTAAACCATCTTAGACTCCTAGAAGAGAGGAGAAGAAGAGGGAAATTCTGAGCAAAATAATGTCCAATTTCTTTACCATATCTTAACTTTAATTAGGCAAAAGGAAAGCAAACAATATATCATAGGGGCTTTTAAATTTGAAATGAAAAATGTAACTATTTTAAATATATTTCTGTGTCAGTGTTGTTCGTCAAAAAGATATTTTTCCTCTGCATTTATTTAATAAATTTTTTCGATTAATCCTGGCGATCCACTAGTATTTCTATCACCAAGTGAGCCCCTGATAAAATTATCTGATCTGACAAGCCAGAGCAGCGAGCCTAATTAGAAATGGAGCGCTCGAAAAAAAACAGATCTGTTAGAAATCGAACTGTTTTAAAACCGAAAGAACTGAATTTACAAGAAAATATATTTCAAAACTTGGCGATTACTTTTGGTTAGCCTGGTTTAAATGTCGTATATGAATTAGAAAATGCCTTAAAAATTTTCAGCAAACAAGCTTAATTATTTGCATAGGAACTAGATGTGTCATCTCTATGACAGTGAAGCACATGGCCTAAACAACGGAAACGACCAACCCACTAAGCCATCCTATTCCCATTTAAATATTTTAAATATTGCTGCATTATATCGATAAAAATATTATATTAACATTTGAATGATTCGCGAAAGAAAATTTAACGTGAATTTGCCTATAATAAAAATGATACCTTTTCATTATCTCCCGCACAAACGAGCTTCATAATTGTAGGGATTTTTCGTTTTTGAATCGAATAATAAAGTGGATTAAATTTTGTTTTATAAATAGTAATTTGTGACTTGCCAAACTTTTCAATCGCTTCAGCTGTAATTCATTCATTTTTGATTACCGTGTGTTAGATTGCAATAGACCTAAAGAATTTATATTAACAAATAAAATTGATTTTCTGCAATAAAATTTTGTCATACATTCTATAATACATTACATTACGCATTATATTACATTACATTCTATACATTATATATGTATAGAAAGCTAGAAAAATATCAGAAAAACTAGATAAATGAAGATCAAATTAGTCTCACTGGTAATAGGAACACTAAGGTCTATAAGGCCTAGAAAAGCGACTTCAATGGATTCAAGAATATATCAGAGATCCTTGTCCAGAACAGAGCAGAGTCCCAAGCTTCCATGTACGAAGCAGAAAACCTAAGACCGAGGACGACTCTTACCACTTGAGATGATAAAAGGATATACATATATATATTACCTATGTTAATGAAGGCATATATTCATTCTCATATTATGCACTTTTAACATCGCATAAAAATTACCTTAATATTTTTCAAACAGCCTTAATATTACCTTAACATTCTTTAAACTTATCATGTTTTTATTTTGTTAATATTTTATTCGATAACATTTTTGCCACTGATTTTTTCTTAATAATTTTTCTATTTTATTTACATTTTACATTTCTTATTTATTTCACATTTCTTATATTTCTCTATATTACACATTTTTTCTTTTGTTTTTTTTATGTAGATTTGCCATTTTATTTTTTTATTTTACTATTCAGATTATCAAGTTATGTTACTGATGTCTTTTTTTCTCGTAGTTGATTTTCGTTGCTGATTTTCTTGTGTGGTTTATATTTTTTTGCATTTTTTCTTTGTAATTTAATTAAGGATCTCTCTTTTCTTTGATATACCGTTCTATGAGCGATCGGTTCTTTCAACTGCTTTGTTAATATGCAAAAGAAATAATAAAGATTACTGATTATTAGGATTCTTCATATGGACACTTCAAGCGATAAATTTTTTTTTAAATTTATTTTTTCCATAAATTTAATTTTTAATTTGAATTTGAATTTTTTAATTTCATAATTTTCTACTTTATCCATTTCTTCGACAGAAGTGAACCTATTCTATGGTGAAAGGGTCTGATGTTTTTAAATGACGTCCGGGACTTCAGATGCGCATGATATTCCTAGCCTGGTGGAATAAGTATATAATCCGGGTGTGAAATGACCTCAAGGCTTGAGAATAAAAGGTGCTCATGAGTCAGGTGCAGGCCACCCACTTGTACTTCCAAGTACTTCGAAGCAACCCAGGGTAATTGCTCGAAACCAATCAAGAGAAACAACTCTCTACACTGAATATCGTCTTCTCACACCATTACTGGTTAGGCTGGCTCCAATGGCTACAAGGATAAGACGCTTCCAAACGGCGCGGTCATTCCATCATATAAGTCCATATATTGCTAGTCCACCTATATGTTCAAAATCTTTCCTGACCGTATCAGTCTAGGTCTTGATTGGCCCACAGCGCTTTTGACGCCAGCCATCATACGGTTTAAGAAGTAACGAAATGCGTCAACTCTTGTGGTGGATGACGGAGAACATACTTTAATCATCGAAGGCGAAGCTCTATTAATGCAAGTGGTATCTGAACAAAGATGGTTGCGATCATGTGATATTTTATCCGCTCGACGGATCAGTAAAATGTACCTTAAACAAGAGTGGTCAAAGGCAGATAACTTCGTAATATCCTCTCATTGGCCATGTTTCAGAACCATATATTAAGATCGAACGGATCACGGCAATATAGATTTTCGCTTTTATGGTGATTTCACGACGATTCCATAAAGGTTTCGTCAACCGGAAGAATGCATTTCTAACTGCCGTGATCAGGGCTATAATATCGTTTTTTGCCTGACCATTTGGTATTAGAGTGGACCCAAGGTTATTTTTTTTAAATATTGGATATCGCCTGTTTGTCAAAGATTCGTTTTTTGTATTTCTGGTCACCTGGCTCTGAGAAGAGGTACTGGCTATATCATTGTGGCATTTCGAATAATTCGGAGCAAAATGGCGTAGCGATTGGTCATATCTGGAATGGCCTATTCCGTCTTAAGAGACCATAAATCCTATACCAGCTTTAAAAGAAAGTTCTGCAATATCTGGGTATATGCTCAAATTTTATGCGCAGATTATCGCGACAAGAGTATGTTCTAAGCAGAACTTCAACTGCTAGCAATATCTACCGAAAGTGGTCACAATCTAGAAAAACTGGAGTGCGCGCATAGGTCATGATGATGCAGCGACGAACTCGGCAAATGGCAAATATGCATCGGAGTACGGTGCGCCAGTGGAGATCAATGCTTTGCCGAAAACAGTGAATTAATTCTGTAATTAATAAATGATTCCAGCATCGAAGAAAGGTGGAAATCTCTGGAAAACCATCACTTAAACCAGGTTGATTATATCTGTCACCACTGGAAGAGTTAAGTATTTGACAGTCGTTCCTGTCGATGCGCTGATAACTTTCATAAATCAGATCATGCTATGGTTCAAACCAAGATTGGAATAAAATTGACAACTCAAAAGAAATAGCGTCTCTTTCAACTATATAAAATTAATATATTCGAGGACAACGAGCGCGTTTCAAACCAAATTATTGAAGTACCTCGATGATAAAATATCGATTTTTCTGGAACAGTAGAAGAATGGTCGGGGAATATCTCTAAAAGTTAGCCACTCTCATGCTAGCAGGAAATGTGTTAATTAGATTCTGGAAGCAACTAATCAACTGCCTGAAAACGCTGCCAAAAGAATTATATACTACCTAGATTGATAGCAGCATAGTGCGATAGAAACTGCTATTGGAGCGATATGGTCTTGCCAATGAAGATGGCGGCTCGGATAGGTGATAATAGGAAACTATTCCGTTTTCATTATAGATCTTTATGAAGCCGTGGCAAAATCACCATAAAAACGAAAGTTAAAACGTAAGTTAGCGTCCTATAGCTATAATTCACTCGACCTTCTTACATGGCAACGAGTCTTGGCCAATGAAAGTTTAAGATAACAAAAAGTTATTTACCCTTGACCACATATCTAAAAATACATTTTACGGGTTCCTGAACGGACAAAATCTCATATGATTGCATTCATTCTCGCTCAAATACAATTTGCATTAACAGTATAGAGCGTCACCTTCCCTGATAAGATGTGCGTTATTTATCACGCATCTCAGGAGTTGACGCATATTTTGCTATTTGCGAAATCCTACGATGGATGGCGTCAAAAGCCAGAAGAACCAATCAAGACTTGGACTGATACAGTCAGAGAAAATGTAGGGTTAGCGTAAACGATAAATAGACTTAAACGATGGAAAAAAGAATGGTTTCTCTTAGTATCAACGATGGTAGCTCGGAAATCCTTATCTCTGCAGCCAGCAGATCCAGCTGAACCAGTAATGATAGGAGTTACTAGAAGAATAAGCTCTCCGATTTCTTCGCAAAATATTTTTCACTTTTTTCGTTTCTAATACGGTAATTTTTGAAAAGACAAAAATAGAATGGCAAAAATGTGAAAATATAACCTTCCGTAAGACCAACTGTACCAAGCGTAGGATGACTAAAAACAACACTAGGAACATTTTCGTATCGCAAATAATTATCGTCTTCTGCATTGAAAAGTCGATGAGCCAATCGTCTACCAGCAGCGATAGCGACTTAAAAAATAAAAAAAATCGGAAGGAAATTTGCAAAATTTGCAAAATTAAAACCAATACAACCAATGATTTATAATTTAGCAAAAATAATCTATAATTTATAATCTATGGTGTAAGAGAACCAGCACAAACGACGCATTTATATACAAGTACTATTAAACACAGCTTTGACATTATACTGAAATAGCAAAAAAACCTGGAGTTAATAGATACTTTCCGCATACATCACCGAGCGCAAGAATACTTTTTACAGAAGTATTCTGATATTCATCAACAATAATATGATGTGAAGAATCCATTTTAATCCCCTTTAATAAATTTTCATTAATAAGCAAAGCAATTAAAATTAGACCACAGTTTTACTTTATATTTATTTATTCACTTTTGTTTGCTTCGTAAATGTCAAAACTTACAAGAGAATTAAGATTAAGATCTTTAGTACACGGAGTCCGACCAACCGCCCATATTAAAATATCAACCTCATCTATCGTGCCTTGTGTTGTAGCAATGGTAAGACGGCCATCAGAACGCTTTTCAACCGAAACTACCTAAACATTTTTTTTAATTAAAATAAATTCGTACTAAAAATTTTATAAATTTATGATGAAAAATAGTATTTACATTCGTTCGACGATGAAGTCTTACAGGCCCACGATCAATAGCTTCAGTCAGTGCTTCAGAAATTGTTTCATCGAAAGACCTTAGAACATGGTCAAATCGAATTAAAAGATGAGTTTCCGAATGCAAATTTCCCAATATACCAGCAAGTTCAACGCCTATATAACCACCACCAACCACAACTGTACGTCTAAATTATAACAAGAATTTAAAAACCCTAAAGGTAACAATCAAAAAAAATTGCTTGAAATATGGGGTGATGCTGACGACTCACCTATATTTCTATCGCCAAGTAATTCCTTGGCAAAATTTATTTGTTCTATAAGCCAGTGAAGCGAGCCTAACCAGAATGGTGAGCGCTCTTACAAAAAAATTAAAATGCATAAAAAAAGCAACATTTATTTAATATAAATAAATATCAGAAAGAATAAAAGAATAAAATAAGCTTACTTAGGAAACTTATGAAGCTTAAAAAAACCATCACTATCAATCCCATGCTGAGCACCTGGGATGTCGTGGGGGATTTTTGGGCAGCTGTAAATATCAAATTAAAATAAAAGGCGAAAATTGTGAATTCTCGAGTTCTATTTCTCTCCTTTACTAAGAAATTTTTTACCGTATAGTATCTTCATTAGAAATGCAATAAAATCACCAAATTCTGACTAATTATTAATATATAAACGAGATATAGGCTAAACTGTTTACCCTCCAACAGCGATAAGAATATATTTGCCCTTATACAATTTCCCATTAACATCCACAGCTCCATGATCAGTAAATTTCGCTCGCCCACGAATCAAATCAACACCTGACTACAAAAAACGAATTCAAAAAAGTTTTTTCAAAAAAAAACAAGTGAAAAATCCTCTTTCTATAATCATTTTTCAAAAATATTCGCTCAAAAGCCTCACATTTTTAAGATTTTCTTCGTATATAGCATTTAGCCTTCGAATATATGCATTTCGAGACTCCGTGATTTTACTAGAAAATAAATAATAATTAATTTAATAATAATAAATAATTGGAATATTATGATTTAATCTTGAAATTTTGAGCGGCTGTATTGTTACTCCACTGGAATTATTTTTTTCAGAATGTTTTCCAGAACTTTCTACGAACTTCGAGCTAAATTTTTTTGTTTTCTTTTTTTTCTTTCTCTTTTTCTCTCATACCTAAAAAAATAAAAAAACAAACGAAGAATTAAAATAAATGTATGTATATATATAAAATTTAAAATAATATTATAAAATAATATAAATAAACAATTATGTCTGTTCTTGACAGAAGTAAACCTGCCATATCAAAAATCCGGGTGATTGCTGACGACCCATCTGTAGCTCTATTCCCAAGTGACTCTATGGTGAAAGGATCAGATGTTCTTGATACGGCATCCACGTTTCCTGACGCGCATGATACTCCCACCCGGTGGTACATGCAATAAGTATACAATCAGAGCTCAAAGCGATCCCAAGGCTGGTAAATAAAATGCGCTCACAAGCCAGGGTAATTTCTCGAAATCTATCAAAGCCCTCTGCACGGCGAGGTATTAGCAGTATCAGCGTGGAACGTCAGAACACTTATGGATGTTGCAAGCCAAGCGATCACTGTCCACACCATTTCTAAATATCGTGTGGATATCGCTTGCTTGTCGGAGGACCGTCTTCCTTATTTCGGGTCTCCAATGATTATTAATCCTGGTTTGGAGCAGAGATACTAAGTATATCACTTCGGATAACTCGGGGCGAAATGGCATAGCGATTGTCATGTCTGATAAGGCCCATTCCGCTTCGATTGAGTGAAAACCGGTAAGCAACCGTATGGCCTAATGCCCGTTTTAAGGGTAAGTTCTGTAATATCGCGGTCATTAGTGTATATATTCCAACTCTGTCGGCAGATGACCGGGATAAAGATAAGTTCTATGCGGAAGTTCAGCTCCTAACAAAGTCTCTACTGAAACAGGGCATGGTCATAGTCGGAGGAGACTGGAATCCGCGCGTACGTCATAATGCCGCTGTGATGGCCTCAACAATTGGCAAATATGGCATCAGAGTGCACCAATGAGGAACGTCAGAAGAGCATGAACTTTTTTTTATTAATATTTACTTCCAGCACTGTAGAAAAGGCATCTAGTCAAGGCATCACGCGGAACTCCCCGGATAACCAACACTTCAACCAGATTGATACCTTAGTTAGTTCTGACCATGTTATTGTCCGAGCCAAGATCTGCACAAAATTGGCAACTCGCAAAAAACAATATCTCTCAAGGCCCTTCAACTATCTCAAACTAAAAGATTCGGGGACAGTGAGCGCATTTTAAAACCGAATTATTGAAGCATTTCAGTGATACCAATGATTTTTGTAGAACTGCGAATGAATATCGATCCAAGCTAAAGGAATCAGCCACTTCCACGTTAAAGTATACTAGTAGGAATTGTACTAGTTGTGTATCGGAAGCAACTGTCCAACTGTTTGAAAAAGCTGCCAAAGCACGAAGGTCAGGTGTCCTGACTACCGGGTGCTTCGAAGATTGGCAATGAAAGCACCAAGGCGGGACAGAAATCACTATTGGAGTAACATGGCCTTGAGAATGAAATCACTATTGGAGTAACATGGCCTTGAGAATGTGAACGGCTCGATTAGGCGATAATAGGAAATTATACTATTCCGCCTTCCTCATAAAGTAACTATGACTCGAAGAACGATTAGTGAAATGGTAAGGGACAGCAACTGGCATGCCGATCAAAAGTATTAAGGACCGCCTCGTAAGATGGAAAGAATTCTTTGAGGCCAAACTTAACCATGAAGCACCATCGTTGCCCTTGATACAGCTGATACGTTTGTCGAAGCATACGCTTGCAATTTCAAGCCTCCAATAGAAGAAGAAATAATTTCCGTTATCCATAAACTTAAGGCCAATAAGACTCCAGGAGATAGTCTTCGGGCTGAGCTTTTCAAATGTTGCCCATCGTCCTTCATAACGCACCTTCAACAAAAGTACTCTCTAGTATGGGAAAAAGAAGTATTACCAGATGATTGTAGCAAAACAATTCTGCTCCCCCTTCTCATGAATGGTGATAGGATATATTACAACAGTTATCGAGGAATAAGCCTAGTAGACGTCTCAGAGGAAATTTTTGCTTCCCTTTTATTCAAGAGACTTATGGAAGTAGCAGGATGCGCCCTAATCAAGCTGGGTTCAGACGAGGATGCGGTTTTGCTGACCAGATATTCATGTTAAGGATACTGAAACATCGTTTCAGATATTTGCAACCCATTGTCACGTGTTTCATCGACTTTACGGTTGCCTTTGATTGATAGAGCGGCGCTTTGGAGGATGATGGTGATGATGATGTTCCAGAGAAAATCATCCGGCTCATAAAGATGAGCGCACGTCTGTGTATATGGAGAACTGACAGATTCCTTCGAAATATAAATTAGAGTCTGTCAAGGCTGCATCCTTCCCCTTACAATATTTAACGATAGACTGGGTAATGGATACCACTTGTCGGCACTTAAGAGGCATCAAAATCAGTCCAGAGCATCATATCACAGATTTTGAATAAACTGATGATGCAGTCATTTTTGCTGGCAGTTATGATAAAATGCAAATAATGCTAAATAACGTGTCAGCGATTGAAGCGAGAATCGGACTCAAGATCAATGTAAATAATACGAAAGTCTTTTCGTCTAATGTGCAAGAAGCTGATAAAATGCCTCTTTTTAGTAAATTCATTGCCGGTAGAGGAAGTGTCCTTAGGTCCACTCTTATACCAAATGGCCATGCAAAAGATGACATTACAACTCGGATCATGGAAGTGCATTCTTCCATTGATAAAACCTTCATGGAGTCGTCGTGAAATTACGATAAAAACGAAAGTCCGCATCTATATAGCCTGATCCATTCGACTATATGGTTCTGAGAAATGACCAATGAGAGTGGAGGAAATTAAGAAATTATCTCTTTGACCACTCTTGTCTAGGGTACGGGTTCGTCGAGCGGATATCACATGATCGCATCCATCTTCGTTCAAACATCACCTGTATTAGGCACGTTCTCCATCGTCCACCACAGGAGTTGACGCATATTTCGTTACTTGCTAAACCATGTGATGGTTGGCGTCAAAAGCGAGGTGGACCAATCAAGACCTGGACTGATACGGTCAGAAAAAATTTTGAACGTATAGGTGGACCAGCAATATATGGACTTAGACGATAGAAAAAGGAATGGCTTCTATTACTGTCGATGATGACATCACACGGCGCCGCTTGGAAGCGTTTTACCCTTACCGCCAGCCTAACCAGTAATGGTGAGAACTGTTAGAAGAAGAAATAATTATCAATTGATAGATATATAAATAAAAGAAAAAGACAGAAAATATAAAATCAGGTGGAAGAAAAAAAAAGATTTGCAAAAAAATTAAAAGAACTCAAAAATTAAACATGAAAATTTTTTTAAAAATTCTAAAATTACTTCCAATCAAAACGATTTACGCATAAATCGAATCCGTAATTTTTAGAATTCTCTAATAATTCAGCGTGCAAAGAACAATAGTACATAATTTTTTTCGGTACACAACCAACGTTTACCTAAAATAATGTTAATATATAATAAACAGATACATAGGGTAAAATATACTATTGGCCAAGATCTAAATAGTGAAATGGCTGAGAAAATGATTTAAAACAATGATGATCAAGAGAGATTCTAAATGCATAGACGATCGAGCAACGTATATGAGATGAACCTTATAAAATAAGATTTAAAGAAGTTTTCAGACATCAGATCAAAAAGTTGAAATCGTCTCATCCTAAATTCAAGTCTAATCTCAGTCTAATAAAGTCGCTTAAAATGAAAAAATTCTGAAAAATGAAAAAATAAATCGAAACTGCATACACAAGTTCCACCAAGCCGTGCAGCCTCTATGAGACCAACAGAAACATTAAATTCGCGAGCACGACGAGCACTTGCAATACCTCCCGAACCACCGCCAATAACAAGGTAATCGTACATAACAGCTTCCCTATTCATATTTGAACTAAAAATATTGAAACGTCATTTCACTTCATTAATAAGCCAAAATTTTAATTTCAATTAAGTTAAACTAAATTTTATAAAAATTTTATATCAGTTAAATTTTTTCAATTTTCAATTTTTTCAAAATTTTCGAAATTTTTTAAAAAATAATAAAACCTGCGCTCAAAAGAAAGAAAACTTACAAGAAAGAAAAATTTGATAAAATTCTGGATGAATACTTTTGATGACTCTCCAAAAGAATTCGATTTGCCAACGACGATAATATTACTACCATTAAAATCGGATGATATTATTCGCAAAAAAATTATACGATCTAAATTCGAACTGACCGAGATGATAATATTGTACCTGAATCTATTCAATTAAAACGAAATATTGGTTAATAAATAATGCTGGAATTGCTAAAGCTACAAGTTGCTTCAGCCTTTTTTTAAACCAAATAAAACCTTAATAAAAGCTTGCGAACCTTTTAAATCGAAATGCACCCCAATAAATGCCAATCCCAATATCCTTAAGAATTGCAAACATTGATCATTTTATTTTTGCTTTTTATCACTTGCTTTTTAGTAAAAGTTTTAGACAAGACTTTTACGTACACAATCATAGATTCAAACCATCTCATTCTGCTTATTATATTTATATAATTAAAAATTATTTTCGCAGTGGTACGTAGAAAATTCGAGAATTAACAAGAACCTATAAAATATATGAAGCAAAATAAATATTTATTGCAGACAAAAGATATGAATATTAAATAAATATATCACAGCGAGAAACTGCAAAAAGCCTTGTGATACAAAAGCGATTCCTTTTTTAAGATAATGATAATGCTATAAATATAAATTATAAATATAAATCTTGGGTGATACTGATGATGCATCTGTATTATACTTTTAGCACCAACTGATACTCTGGCAAGATCTGATCCAACAAGCCAGTGAAATCATTTGACCAGCTAGCTCTCTCAGAAGGAAAATAAAAATTTGGTAAATTAAATATATTTGATATGATTTTAAATGATTGTCTTAATTAAATTAAACTGAATATATATAACATATTTCCAGCAAACTATTAAGTGCATTTGCTAACAGATAAGAATCAACAAATTCAAATCGTAAATAAAGAAAATAATAATCCAAACATCAGATAATAAAAAGATTTAATATTTATCATGTCTTATGCAGATGAAAAGAATATATAGATAAGAAAAGTTAATAGTTATCATATCCAATCGCTGAATTTCAATTTGATTTGAAGCGAAAAGAAATTCGAAAACCAGATTTTTAAAAAATAAAAAACCTCGCGATAAAGCCTACGAAACCAAGAATACATAATGTAATTGCGGCCTTAAACATAAAATTTCGTCGATTTAGCTGTCGAGCATCTTCACGATATTTCCGACTCAAATCCGATAAGTCACTCGCTCTTGTCTCCAAAACTGAAACTTATCATTTCATTTGCATTTTGGAATGATTTTCCTCTATATAATTTTATTAAAACGGTAAAACAATTTAATTGCATCCTCATTATCTTATCTCGAACGTACTATTTAATGCTTCTCCTCGATGAATCACATCTTCGATATTAGAAACCATTATGCGAGTAACATCTTGAAGTTCACTGCTAACAGCCGACATAGCGTGTCTACTCCTATCTGCATATTTGATTTTTGCTTGTTGAATATACTGATCTATAAAAAATAAAAATCAAATTATAAAAAAAATTTTGAAAATTTTCAGTTCTTTTTGTATTATTTATTAAATCATCCTCCTCTTCTTTACTGTTTTAGTATTTTAAAATTTCCTGCCTTGTTATTTTGTTACTGCAGGTCATTATCATACAAATGCATGGTTAATAGCCTTCAAGGTTTTTATCTTCTTCTTTTTACAGCTCTCACCATTATTAGTGCGCAGACTACAAGGATAAGACGCTTGATTCTTGTTTATAAATAAATGAAATCAATCTTAGGAAAATATCTCAAAATGTTCTTCAAAATATTACAAACATCATTCTCCTTGATCATCATTATTTCCCGTTTGCATTGCTTTTACTGATTAATACGGTGGGACTATTAAGACAGATAGTCGCTTAGAAATAGATGTTCTCCAATTTCACTGTTCCTATATAAACACTCTTTGAATAAATATTATTACCCTATGAATATGAAAGCTTTATTAACCATTTTTTTAAGAGAACTGTAAATGGAGATCATTTAAATTGTACCAAATTCAATAAAATGATATGGTCGAGTAACTGTATCAATTCTTGTGCCATTTTGACCGAGAAATTCATTTGTAACATCGCTCAAATAAGCAAATGCTGATTTTCGAGGAAAATTTTTGTCACACAAACACAAAGTGCATATAGAATCTTTGATGTAATAGCTGAAATTAATATAATAAATAAAAATTATAGAATATTAAACCCACACGAAAAAAATTTTATAAAAACGAGTGGCAACCGTATTAAGCAAGATAAATAAAAAAAATTTATGAATTTATACATGGCATATATGAGGAATTCAAAAACAAATGGTAAAAAATAAAAAAAGTACTGAAAATAATATGGTCCACTTTCAACAGTATGCACTGGAGGACTACCAGCATTTAATTTTCTGAATAACATTTTCGCTTGAGTTGTGTATTTCACCATATTATTATCTGTCTAAAAGATACCAAAAAAAAAACTCTGGTGAAAAAAAACAAATTAGAAATTCTTGACATTTTAAATTTTTTATTTTATTTCAAACTTTATAAAATTTTAGAAAAATTATAAAAATTATCATAATATAACTTGAGCAACTTTGAAAAAAATTTATGTAGAACAGCGTTTAAAAGATTTTCAGAAGCAAAAAGTTTAGCCTAGGCCATTATAGCGATCTACAAAATAAAGCAATAAATAAAATAATAAAGAAAAAAACAAAAAAAAAGAGAAACATACGTCATCACCTCCTTCAATAGAAGTTGCTAAAATTAAACCGTCTCTTACACGTGCAATAAGCGTCAAAAGAATCATTCCGTTAGTTAAGCCGTCACGTCGACCTATAAAAAAGCATTAATATTAAGTCCATCTATCCGAATTAACATTAAATTTATATGTACAAAAAATTTTTAATTGAAAAAGAAACTAAATTTTTAGAAAAACGATTAATAAACCACATTTCCTCAGTACTTTTCTACAATAGTATCTCTCCATAATTAATGTTCTCTCCTTCCCCACTACTTTAATTTGGGATCCTCTAGCATAGATAGGAACTATCACAATCCAAATATATTATAATTTTCATATAGAAGATCTGTTATATTCTATATGAAAACTTTTATTTCATTAAAAAATAACTAGCTATCATGGTAGGATATATGCGCAAAAAATTTCTTAAATGGCAAGAAATATCAGAAAATTGGGAAAGAATTGTTCAATTGTGATATTATCTTTAAACCTCAAATCTCGCTCTTCCATAAATCCTCTTTAAATTTTCTTTTCACATATGCTAGGTTCGTATTAAATGTAAATCCTCTAATTTCATGCTAAATTAAGATTTATACAATATAGATATATCCATTTAAGAGTTTAATATGGTGATGCGGGGAGTATGCCGGCAGTTGGAGAAGTTAGGCATGAAAGAGAAGTATATGAGGAGATGTGGTGTTAAACGATCATAAAGGAGCTTTACAATCGTAAACTGAATTTAAAATAAACGAGTGTAGCGAAACATGGAGAGGATACTAATATAAAATGGAGCTTGAAAGAAATTTAAAGTAATAAAAAGGGGTTTTCAAAGGGCTACCTCGTAAGGTAATGAAATGACAACTTCCGTAGATGTAAAGGGGGCATGGCGAGTTATTTTATTTATATTTTATACAAGAGGGCTTTATAAGCCAACGGATTTTCGCAAAGGAATACAGCAGTGTTGGATGAAATATTACCACGAAACATGGATTCTGAAGGTTGAGAATCATGATAGGTTCTATGAAGATTGCCAAGGGAGAATATAATATTATTCAGAAAGCTAAGATAGAATAACTAATGGGCAAACAAGTGTAAAGAGCATAGTATTCGAAGGATCGCTAGAAAGTTCAGAAAAAGCTGTATCAGCGAAATCTGAGAGGACTTTATAAAAAACTTTCGATACGGGATGTGAGAACAAAATAATATGGGGCTTTCAACAAAATATTTAACGAATCGCAATAAATAGCAGGTTTCAGAAGAGGTGACGATTCTTTCCTTCCCGACGGAGAGGAAAAGTTTTCTCCCATTCCACTGGGCGATAGACTAGAATAAGACATGATCCGCCATCCAAGAGAAGTACAAGTATAAGTATAAATCAGTCCAGAGTACATTAACAAGAACCTTAGGCCAGATCCCGGATTAATATAAAGCGAAGTTTTAATCACTTAATACATTAGACGATGGCAAAGCACCTGTATTTTTCCGTGCCTTATGGCATTCACCATTCCTGGCATGGCTGTCCTCACTAAAATAGAACCCCAAAAAAACATGCAAACCCCGAAGCCTAAAACTATTAATTTCCCACAAAAATATTTCTATTCCAACATCAACATATAAATGCTGGCTACATCCGATGAGTAGAAAATTCTAACTATCGTTTCGGATTAAATTGATGACGAATTACTCTCTCTCTCATTCAGTGGAGGCGGCCGACCTTCAAGCATCTTTCTTCGCTTTTCATTATATCTGTCACCTCTCCTCCTTTCCTTTCCTTTCCTTTCCTTTTAGTAACAGCGATCGCAATAATGAACGCGTAACAAAAATGTAATAATGTAATAAAAATGTAATAATAGCGAAATAATAGCGAAATAATGGCAAGTGAATAAGTATAAATAATAACAACAGTGAATAGCAATAATAATAGCAATAATAAGCGATAAAAATAATAGTTAATTTTAAAAATATTAGTACCAAGTTTTGCCTGCTCACTGCTTTTGTCTGGCGTACTTTGGATATGTGTGAGAGGAAAAGTGAGCCATGTCTTGTAGCACTCTTCGCCCGCCCTCCCCTCTCAGGCTTTCAGAAGTCTCTTTAACGGTCCCAGGATTGCTTCGCTTCCGTCTGGTAGCCAGTCTTACGTAGTTCCAATGTTCTTTTTTCTCCTAAACTGGTAGTAATATCCTCTTGGACTCATTAGATCAGACCCAACAGCTCCCTAACAACTTTCTTGATACTGTTATATCCACATAATCTAAAACTTCGTTCCCCCATCATCACTACCCTTTTTCACCACATTCCATTAATTTTAACCCTTATACTTTCTTCATACATTTATAGTCCTTTGACAACCTCAGAACGTTTTCTTTGAAATTCTCATATATTAACTTTGATTCCTGTGTGATCCTCTGGTGCTGTGGATCCTCTGACCAAAGTGATCATCGTGAACATTCTTTTAAACATATATAATAGTAGCAGCCTGAAGGCAATAGATGCAGTTGGGTATATGTTTTGAATGGGTCACAAGTACCTGCACTTGCAGTTTCTATGATAGTAGAACACTTCTATTGTATTTGTTTTTTCAATAATTAGACAAAATATGTTTTCCATTTAAAATAATTGGAAATTTAAAAAAAAGAGAAAAAAAGCACAAAATTTTCAAATAAAAAACTTTATTTGAGGAAAAATTTTAGTGCATTATTTAATTTATTCAAAAAGATTTGCCAGAATTTTTTTATTAAAAAAAAGTACAGACGCAAATCTTAAATGCGCTTCGTAAGTACCAAAGGCGGCAAAGTGGTGGAGAAGAGTCAAGAAATATCTCGACCTTCAAGCCTTATTGAGTTTATGAAATACATCTCACAAAGGGTGTAAATGCAGAGAATGAGTGATTCCTGTGATAGATTTCAAAATTAAAAATCCAAAATTAAAAATCTTCTAAAAAGAACTAATGCCATTAACAACATTCATAATTCACGAGACGTAATCAAAATGTCAACATTAAAAGGAATTTGAATTTGAGGGATTCAAGGTTTTAGTGGAGGTAGTGGAGATACTTTGAAGGTATGGTGGAAATAAATGGCTGTAGAATAAGCAGAATTAGAAATGGAGCCTTGACTGAATGAGTAGTTGCATGATAAAACTTTCCTTCTTATCTCATAATAAAACTTTAATGGAACTTTAAAGAATTGCTTCCATAAATAAGCGAAAAATGATTCCTAGAGTAGAATCTACTCCTGGTGAATATGCTGTGAACATTGTCCATAACGTCAACCATTGCACATTTATTAGCGGTTGTATGGCGTAGTTATAAATTCGACTCGTTGGGTATTTTCCTGCAGCATTTTGGAACCGAATTCGAAAGGAAATGAGATATACCTATAAAAATTTATCTTTTAAGGATCTGAAATTATTTTTATCGAAATGATTTTTGAAAGATCGGAAGTATACCGGAGGTTGGTTCGTATAGTTTCATTTCGCTTGTTATAAAATACGGATTTACGGATGAAGCCAAAGATTTCCAGCAAAAATATTTATAAAGCCAATAATATGTTGACCATATGAAAATATTTATTGAAATAATAATGAGACGAAATGCAAAAACTGTTAAAATCATTATTAAATTATCTGCAAATAATTATTTATAATTAGAAAAAAATAAAAATTGTCCTTTTTTGTGTTCATCAGTTTTGGCTAGGTTCATTCTGTTGGATCAGATAAATTTTGCAAAGAAGCTTATCATTTGACAATAGAAATAAGGATGGTTCGCCAACATCAAGCGAATTTTTAAAAGATAGATTTCTCCTTGTTGGGAATAGAATCGCAGCGTTGCGATAAATGAGAGCACCAAGTATAGTTTTAATTATTTCTTACATTTGGATTATTGGTTTATGATATTCTTAATTTGCAGTAAAACATAAAAAATTTACCACCAAGTAACGCAAGTAATACGATTTTATCGAACAACCAATTTGAAGAGAACATTATCAGTGATACTGATGACAATAGCGATAAAATTAAAGAAACTGTTGACAATAATATATTAATGCTCTTAATTAGAAATTACATGAGTAATATCGCGATTTTGAATTGTAATTTTTAAAAAAATAAGAAAAAATAAGAAAATAAGAAAACCTAGAAAATATGCGATTTTTAAATAATATAAAATAAATTAATGTATCAGTCAGTGCATGCATCGATATCAATTAATGTTAATTATATATAATAGATATAGATTCTTATAATATTACATAATATTAAATTAATAATCTATATTAATATTCTTTATATAATATATAATATTAAATTAAAAAATATAGTATAGTAAAATATAGTATTAAATTAATTTTTATTAATTAATATATTAATTTTATCTACCAAAAATTTTTATATATTTTTACAGTTTTATAAATTTGAACAAATTTTATAAAAAATTAAAACAATTAATTTCATGCGAAAAATTTTAATTATATTTTGGCAAATTTATCAGATTTTCTTATAAACTAACAGTTATAGCCAAATATGGAAGCAAAAATACTTTCTTTTCGTAGAAAACACCATAGACGAGTAAAATGATAATTATTATTAAAATTATATTTGTAAGAATTGACTGATAAAAGCTGATATTGTATATGGTTTGTGTACAAAATAAAATTGTGAGAAAAACCATAAGAAACGTTAAAATACGAGCCAAATGCTAAAATTTATTATTAAAGAAATAATTAGAACGAGCAAAAAAATGAAAAAAAATATAGGTTCGTAAGACTATACTTAATTCTGAATATTTTTGCAAGAAATTTGTGAAATCCTTCATGCGAAATTCTGGGCAGACTGCATAGTTCTAATTCATTTTTTTATGCGTAAAATTGGTTAAATTAAAAATGCTTTCAACTGGAACTTACTGTTATATGCATAGATCCACAATGAAATTTAACTTTTTCTTTCATGAAAGTAGAATGACATTTCTGCATCTGAAAATAAAAAATTATTACGAGCTTCTAATTTTCGGTTTGATTGGCTTCATTGATTATGATAAGGCGCAGATAGTGGCCAGATAAGCATTTCGGAATAGAGAGAGCTGTCTGCACTGTATA